CCAAGTTAAAAAATAAGGAAGATCTTCACCGATTGGCTTTATCGTAGTTCATACGAGAGCTATACACTCCCAGAGAAACGTTGCAAAATTTGGAACCGATTGGATTATTAGTTTTTGAGTTATCGTGCCCGCCATTCGCAAAAAAATGTTTAGAGAAAAACGCGTTTAAAGTTTGAGAAGCCCTTCAGCCGTCACTTGATGCGGACACAATAAATCGGATATATCTTCAAGAGTTCTTGAGATTTTCACTTGAAATTTTGTAGAGACATTCCTTAATCAGTGTAGATTCGAATTATGTCAACAAAAATTTTGACCCCGAGAATGGGGGGGGTCCCCTTAAGTGTAATTGAAAATAGGTGTACGGTATGAAATGCAGCAAATTATGCCATGTTCTGACGGGCATTCGAACAACGTAGTTCGCTCTCAGAATTACGTACATGAATTAACCCGTTCATACAACACTATTCTTAATTCATGTCATTAGATTGTTTTTATTTAAATTTTTTTGTTTCTTGTTTTAGACCAAAATGTTAACATATTCATGTTTTCCATTTTTTCCGAAAATATTGTTGCTATTAATAAATTTTTATATTTTCTCAATTCAAATGTGACATATAAAAATTGGAGAATTTTTGTTTGGGTTTCCCAACATTTGTTTCTCGTTTTGTACGCTAATTAGAACAGAAGGGAAAGAAATGCATTTTGCATTATGCAGATTACAAAATTTACTTCCTTCTGCATATATAAAAACATTTCATTCATCATTTTCAATTTTGAAAATTTCATAAATATTTCAAAACTGTCAAAATTAATTTATTTTCGATAAATACTCTCAAATGTTAGGGATGGGACAAAATTCTTGGTTATTTAGAGAGTGATTCGAATCGAACAACGTACAAAAGTCGGTGTTCGCTCAGAAAATTTTGTATGGGGAACTAAGTAATTACTTCATAATTAGGGGTCGAACAACGAATGAGAGAGCGAACGACGCTCGTCTTTACATGGCATTAAATTCCATATAATTAAAAATGATCCCTTGACTACTAGTACATTTAATCCACATTAACTTTATACAAATAATTGTTCCCATCAATGCCTATATAATAGTACGTTTACATTTAACCAGATTTCGTTAACCCAGTGGGTTTCAAGTGTCATTTCCTTTGCATATATGTCAAATAAATCCTCATAAAGTAGGTTAACCCGGTAAAAAATTTATAATGTACAAGGAGTTTAAGGTCGGCCAGTAAGCGCATGCATAGAGAAAACTTAAGTTTAACGTCATTTTTTTGTTTTTGCCGAGGCGAAAACTAATTGATTCGCCTTTAAGGGGACCCCCCCATTTTCGGGGTCAAAATTTTTTTGATTTAATTCGATTCTACACTAATTCAAGAATGTCCCTACAAAATATCAAGTGAAAAACTCAAGAACTCTTGAAAATATAGCCGATTTATTGTGTCAGCATCAAGTGGCGGCTAAAGGGCTTCTCAAACTTTAAACGCGTTTTTTTGCGAATGGCGGGCACGATAACTCAAAAACAAATAATCCAATCGATTTCAAACTTTTACACGTTTCTCTGTGAGTGTATAGCTATCGTATGAACTAGGATAAAGTCAATCGGTGAAGATCTTGCTTATTTTTTAACTAAGTTTTTGGTCAAAAATCGGCGATTTTCCAAAAATCTATTTTCAAAGGTCCGCCATTTTGTTAATTTTAGAGCGAAGTCAATAAACCTAGTTCATACGAGAGCCAGGCATGTACTCTTTCTAACACCGTTGGAATTTTCGGATTCCGATGTTGCAGTGAGGAGTTTTTAACTCTTTGAGCGCCGAATGGTTTTTCGTAATCATAAAACAATTGTCTCTTCGCAGACTTAATGCAACTATCCTATATAGGATATGGACAAAATTGACATCGATATCAAGAAAATCAAATGCAAAATCGACAGAAAAATCATTTTTAATTATTCTCTATATTAATTTTTAGAAGAATCAAAAATAATTCTGATGGTTGTATTCGTACAATTTGAATACGAAGCGGTTTAAATAATATCTTCACCAAAAAATTAAATTTTGTAGATTTTTCTTGTGATATGTGTCGTCCATAATCAGGACCTGACATAGGAAATCCAAAGAATGCATGTCTACTAGACTTATAACAAATATAAGCTCTAAAACATGTTGTTGCCTGTGGGCAACATTGGGCCATGAATGGTTAAAATCTTGAAATTGTCCAAATGTGCTTCAGAAAGACGATATAAATTAAAATTGAATTGACTTACATAATTTTGTATGTATGTATAGCTTTCAAAATACGATTTGACAGCAAACTTAATACTCAGCTGTCCTTACTGTCCGACTTATATAGGCCTTGGTTCCCATTATTTGTCATCACATCATTGAATTAAATTACATTGATTTGTAAAGTAAATTGTTGAAAATATTTTCAACATCGATATAAAAAAATCTTTACAACGTTACAAGATTACACGCGGACAACACAAATTTCCTTGATTTAGTCTTTGACCGGGGATTTATGTCCCAAGGGCTAGACGTTTATGTCCCAAGGGCTAGACGTTTTGAAAATAATTCGTGACCGGGCTTAAACTTTACTTTTTCACTGACCTACAATTACCAAAAACCTAAGAATATACAATTCCATTAACGAAATTCGAAAGACCATATTCCAAGATGTTGTCTTCCACATGATCTTTCCATCGGATTCGTGGTCTTCCCCTTCCGTATGAACCATCAGCGGGTTTGCTCTTATATGCCTTTTAAGCTGGGACATCCTCATCCATTCTCACAACATAACCTAGCCAACGTAGTCTCTGCAGCTCGATATGTCTGACTATGTCGACGTCCGAATATAGATGGTACAGTTCATGGTTCATTCGACGGCGATATTCACCGTCAACGAAGATCGGCCCATAGAATTTCCGGGGAATTTTTCTGTTAAACACTCCAAGAGCTGTAGTTTTCAAGTTCCACAGTGTCATTTCTTTTCACATTTTCATTAGGATGTTAAACAGGTTACACGACAAACCTTCTGAATCCTCGTTCTGTATTGAAGGACTCCTAGAAGTCCTTTCCGACTTTAATTGCTGACCTTGTGCCACTTAAAGTTATCCTGCATAGCCGTATTAATTTTGCATGTATGCCAAACGCTGACATGGCTTTAACCACCTCTGAGGGGATTGGACTGTCGGTCTCTTTTATAGTTCCTATGAGTGAACTCGCCGCACACATCAGTTCACTATTTGAACTGATAATTAACGTAATGTTCACGTTTTATAATCGTATTTGTGTCAAACAACTTTTCATTTTCGCGGGTTTACAATAAAACAAAAAATAATGTATGGACTGATATTATTTAATCCAATGTAATGTTCATATAAACTGACCTACATTTCTTAACTGAATATAAAAATTACATACTTTAAATTCGATTTAAATATTTTGTTACTATGTTAATGGACGAAAATGGCAAACATACTGTTTGAAAAAAACTTATTAATACGTAATGAATCATAGATACAAAATTTAGAGAAATCGAACCCAAAAGTTGCCAACGCCGTTTTTAAAGGATTTTTACTGGGCGTGTTCAAAGGCGCCACCTGTAGAAATTAATAGTCAATGTATAACTAATAACATACCTTAGTTCTAAAAAATTTGTTTAATGTAAGAAAACGACCATTGAATGCTATGTATATACAGCTCAATTCCTTCACCCAATATTAACGTTTGACAATTTTAGTATGCATTTCAAAAATTTATATATCCACCATAGACTCAAAGTTTTGTTCAAAAATTTATTGTTTTTACTTTCAGACAAAATTTCAAGTAAATGTTAATAAAAATGTTATAAAAACAAACAATATAGCTCAATTCCTTCACCCAATATTAACGTTTGACAATTTTAGTATGCATTTCAAAAATTTATATATCCACCATAGACTCAAAGTTTTGTTCAAAAATTTATTGTTTTTATTGTGCTCAGTTTCAGTTTAATTAAATTGTAGTAAAAAGTTAGTGGTTTGTGGTTAGATCTTATGTAGTATCTTAACAGTATTTAAAAAGTAATATTAAATTAGGTAAAAACAGAGAAATTACTTATTTGTCGTTTAACTTGTAACAGAAAATAAATGCTATAGTTTTACATTAACATTAACATATAATTATTTTTGGTTTATTTTTATTAAGTATATGAATTCATATCTAGGATTTATTTCATAATTGTTTTTTTTCAATAGTGTTGGAGGGTTTATTTGCTTAACTTATGTTAAATGTTCAGCATTATTAAATAATAATATATACAAATGTGCGCTTTTGTATAATTTATTATTGGCCCCATACACTGTACTGCCGATGAGCCCTCTTCAATCAAAATTAGAAAAAAATGATTTTAATATCACACAAAAATTTATTTTTAATTGAAATTGTATTTATTATATTTTTGAAGACACACATATACGTTCATATTTCTTCTGGCAATTTTTAAAATTAACAAAACTCATCGGATTTTGTACTGCCTCAAATTCTCACACATACAGTAGCGTGCGTTATAATATCCGTTCTTATATTTTATATTGAACTTTCAGTTTGGGTGTTCTTGAATTAAAAACAAAAGATTTTTTTTTATTTTTTACTGCCTCTTGTAGGGGGGGGGGGGAGGGGGCTTTAGGATCGGCTCATACAATGTTTTATATATGCAAGCTAATTCCTTTTTTGTTTTATTTTCAATTTTCAAAAAATTAAAAAGGACTTCTTATGGCTTCTATTTTTCTATTATTAAGCGATGTTTTGGCAAGTTGGGTAGAATACGCTTCCTTGTATTCCATATGTAATTTAACCAATCATACCTACACCCAACGATTGATTTCATATAAATCGCGACAAATACATATGTATTCGTGAATTTCTAATGTATGCTCGATGATGCTGAGTTGTAAATATTTTCGAATATTTGTGTGAAAACTTAGTCTAGTTTTTGGACGGCAGTTATGTTAAAAACAGGTCAAGGGCAGACTGATTGTCAAAGTCGTCCGAATGGAATAGGTCGAACGAAGTGAAAGTTTCCAAGCTCATCAGGGATGTCAGGCAGGTTGAATGTGAATTGTGTACACGACTAGGCGAGATGGCCAGCGAGTCGATGGGCGGCTCCATAAGACGCAAACTAAGTTCTAGGGGGTTTTCCAAAGTAGGCATGTCGCTGGGGGAACATTCAAATATATCATTTGACAGTGAAGATACATTAAGCTGGGTGTGTAATGGACTCGACCATCGTTCAGATAGATGTATTGAGTCTCCATCTGATTCGAGCATAAAATTACTTATATCGGATGTAGACTGACGACTGTGGGAAGTATTGTTTTCGGAACGATATGAATAGTTGGAAAGTGGAGAAGCAGAGGAGTCGGAGGAGGGAGATAGGGATGCATATGCTGACGAGGTATTTGAGGCGGGTGATGCATCCAACAGTCCAGGAATAGGCGAAGACTCGTGAATGCGACTCTGAGCGGCTTTTCCTTGTTTGCCATGCCTCTTCGTAGGTGGTGCATCTATTTTTGCAGGTTTCAACTTGAGGTCATGTGTTTTTTGCAGCCGTAGGACGGAGCTATCGTTAGGTGTTTTACTGCAGGGTTTGTAATGTATGGAATCACAGATCAAGCGATCAAGTTCGGGCTTGTGCGGATCGACTAGTGCGTCTGAGAGCACTTTGATGTATTTCATTGCCAGTCGCAGTGTTGTAATTTTCGTTAGTTTTTCATTGCTCGGTCCGACATCCTCGTCGCTGATACAAGCTGGTACACAGTGTCTTAGATTTTCGAAAGCAGAATTAATTTCCCTCATCCTTGTCCGTTCCCTAGCATTTGCGGTTTTCCGGCGGTACTTACTCAAAGGTGCAGCTTTAATTTTTGATTTAGCGTTGCTGTCAGCCATCGCCTTCTTGCATAGTGGCGAATTGTGGTGAGACTCGTTTGAATTGTCACTGTTATATCCCGGTGAATTTGTGTTTTGTCCCTGGAAAAAACGCCTCTTCTGTCGCTGTCGCAAAGAATACTTCTCAACGTCCATTGTTTATCAGTCGACGTATCTGCATGAAATACAAAATTTTATATTATATTAGTTGTTACGTACATCTACACTGGTGGTCAAAATTAAAGCAATGGTTAATAAATGCAGCATCACTTTTAAAGATATCGTTTTTTTTCGATTTTAATCGAGTGCTTTTTTCGCGTAAAACAAAAAACAAAAGCCTTAATGCAAAATTCATTAGGGGATAAATAAAAATTTTGCTTGGACAAAACTAAAGCAACTCTACCGTCCAAACAGATGAGGTCTAGGATTTCAGTTATTTATACCGTTCGTTATATGCAATTTATAAGCAATTCAGGTATTATATTTTAAATTTCGAAAATCTAAATTTTTTCTAATCTTGTTTAAGATTATCTGGACTTCATACGGATTAACTGGATATTCTAAACAGAAACAGAAAATGTATGGCTTTCAAAGGGTGAAATTGAATATTGATTGGCGATGATTGGGGTGCGTTAATTCCTTTGAGTTGAGTATATGCGTATTTGATATTATTGAAGATAAGTGCTTTAAGGTATATCGCAGGCTTAACATTTAGAGGCAATAAGTCCATATTTTACAATTTTACAGGAGAGACAAAAAAAAAAAAGCCAGCGACATGTGATAAATTGGACCTTGCGCCTTTACGACACCAACAAATGAGATAATTTTCGATTTTTTTTATTAAATCGATGCATTTTACTTATTAAACATGTATGTATCAAAACCTCCATTTCTAGAAAAAGTGGATTTAATGCCTTTCACATTAGGCCAACGATATAACTTGGCCTAAAATATATTTTACGTCAGGCACATATTAAATTCGACATAGATAGTATGTAGGAGAGACTGAGTCACCTTCGGCAATCGCGTTTTCGATATGAAGCTCGCACTGTACATCGATACGATTGAAAAAGGCTATTTGTGATGGTTTGTGTGGCCTTAAAAGTCAAACATTGAATCGCGTATTAAAACAAAATAGAACCTTTAGCGGATCTGAATTCCAACCAGATTGATAGCGGTGATAATTACTAGGGTATGACTATGGTGCCGAATGTGCCCCATCAAATGCCGAAGCTACCCCGGGTAAGGGCACATTCGACGAATTTGACTTTTTTTTACAAAAATGTAAAATTGTTTAACTAATACCAATTTGTTATATGTTTTTGGTACTATTTTTTGTAATTAAGTATCAGACGACAATAACCAGCCATAAGTTTTTATATCAGTTGAATAAGTACTGAGATGCTCTAAAAAAAGTGCCGAATGTGCCCCAGTCTCCCCTACTAGCAATTCGTTTGATCTGGCGAAAATGTTCAAATATGCAGGAAGGAAATGCGTAAATATGAATTGCGCAATTGAACACACCCTATTGTAATTACACTGCAAACTAGATTGGTTCGGAGTAGTTGCCAGTGGATTTTCTAATTAGGCGCGAATATTTTTGGTTCCAAAGAAGATGTTAGGATATGCACTATATGTATGTTGCTAAGTGTCCCATGTGAATCAAATACCAGTAGCCACGTAAGACATTTATTCGAACGTATATGTGGAAAACAACATGTACCCTTTCCATGGAAACTGTACAGCACATCATATTAAAACCTCGAACCTTATTGGTTGTGTTTGTTTGTCGACAAATGCTATCCAAGCGTGAGGGGATAGCAGCGAGTGTAGGCAGATAGTTTTCTTAGATATGTGGGTCAATTCTTCCCACATTGTTTTACTGGCGTTTTAATTGCCCAGTTAAATGATCACACCCACACAATGTTCGATAACAAACGAAGCTTGAAACGATTGGTCGTTGCAAGACCCCCCTAAATATTTACGGGATTAATACAGTTATGTCATCGCAAATGTCATCGGAAATATTTCGACTGGGTTCATTGGGTAAAATCGGGGTGCGTTTATTCCTCTGAATTGATCAGAATAAGCGAGTTGTTCAAGAAAAATGCGTCCAAAGTAAATAACTGTTGGCCAAACAAAATATATTGTATGTTCCGCTCATACTAAAGTCGACATGCTACATATGTTTGTATTGCTGTCGATATCGAATGTTTTTTGTACAATAATGTGTTCCTTATAAGGTGAAAATACATAAAAATGTGTTGCATTCGAACATGAACACACCATATTGAGGATACACTGCGTAAGCGCTGTTGCGCTCAGTGCTATTGGACACTCGAATGGTTCTGTGTAGTTCCCATGGAATTTTCTAATTGGGCGGAATGTTTTTTTTTCTCCAGTGTGGATGTAATCGATCGTCTTTTCATATGACTTGGAGCCCTATGTGGAATCCACTGCTTGTAGCTTCGTAAGGCATTGACGAGCTCTGTAACATGTGTGTGAAATTCGAGTATTAAAGAACCCGATCAATAAGTGTTATCTGAGATAAAACTCAACAGAAAGGGTGGTAATTCGCCTGTCGTGACAATTCGAATGGGTACGTGGAAAACTATATGTAACCTTCGGAATATGCGACATACAGAGGCTGGCGTTTGTATATATGTGAGTGTTTTTTTACCAACATCCTTGACTGACTTTGGCCAAAGATGGCATTTTGTGTGCTTCAGGTTGTGAACAACTCTTCTGTAACCAAGTTGCTGTCATCAAAGTTGTCTGCCTCTTGATCGGCTAGTGGCAAGCAACTACTGCTATAGGCATCAGCCACTGCAGTAGCTATCAGCAACAGATATGTTGGTTTGAGTCCGACAAATTGAATTTAGTATGCCACATTTTATGCCCGCACTCACTACATCATGCAGCACCAGAAAAGTTACTTCTCCTAATATGGGATGAAGTTAATTTGAGGTCGATGTGGAACAGTGACACACATTTTGGAAAATGCTGACAAATGCCGCAAGTGATAATTGCCCTCATTAAACATTTTTCTCCAAATTATTAGAAATAAGTTCTAGAGGAAGGTGTTATAAGGATAACGAATATTTCTGACATGGACTGTGTGTATTACATATGTGAAAATATTTCATAGAAGAATTGTCATTAGTCAATCGTATCGAACATTTTAATTGGAGTTCCAGTGTAATTTGCATCATTTTGCAAGTGGGACATTCAAAACGTTATTGAAGACTGTATATGCATATAGCTATGAATGCATAGTTACCATAGAATTATAGCAGGTCAACAGCATAACACTGCAACGTACGTTGACCAACACTTCGTTTGGGGTTGTAAAGTTTGGCGCCCTCTGTCCGCAGTGAAATTCGGTCCTTTTTGTCGCCAACAACGAAATATCTTGTATCTCTATGGATATTTTAAGGTCGCAGGTGACTACTCGGTTAATCACACACGGGTCGGATGTTTTGCATTCGCCCAGTGAAACAGCTTCAGGCCAATTTATGTATGGAAGGCATGGATGCGGTGTTTGTCCGTTGTTGTTATTATTTGGTAGTTTGTATTGCTCCCACAAATACTACACACTGTGTGGTGGTCTGCTGCAGCACACGTTGATTTGTTTTGCGAGTCGAGTTCTAAAAATAGGATTATTACGCGTCACGCGGCATCAATAAGTGAGAGGATGGGCGAGGGATAGTAAATAAACCGTACGCCAAGAGATCGGCGTGTTTATTTTATTTTTACTTTGGTACAGGCTCACATGTGTTGTGCGCCAAAGACTACTGTTAGTGGAAACGCGTCCGAATGCGAGGTTTGTCAAATTTGCACTGAATAAATGGATATTTGTTGATATCATCGAGCAATGAAAATAAGCATCGAGTTGCGCAGCAGAGCGACGCACGTAAGTTGGACGCGGCTGAGAGACATATATCGATGCCAGCTAGTATGACGAACTCATAAACAATGTATTTCGTGTGTGTGTGTGTGTGAGGGAATAATTGTGTGTTTATCCAAATATCCAAACAAACCGACAACGATCGATGGTTTCCAACTTTTCTCAATGAATGTTACTCTCCGATCAATCGGCCGGTGTTTATGCCATCGACGGTATATTCATCAAATGGTTGTGGTGCCCTCAGTAGTACGTATTTTAATATGTTTCCGATAATAACTAACAAACCGCGGTGTGTCCCATTAGTGTATTTATGTACATAGACCAGCAAACCGTACAGCAAAAGTTCTGTTCAGTTACGGAAATGTATCTATGTATATGTAAACAAATTAATAAAATCGTGTACAATAATATTTTTGGTAGGGATATTTTCTACTCATGTGGAATTGGAAGGTGCCGTTATATAGGGGTTACCCAAAAAAGTGAGCATTTTTAAAAATGTTCCGAAATTTATTTTATGGAGTTTTCACTCCTTCGGATACTAATTATGTTTAGAAAAATCAACTTAATTATATCCCGTAGAATAATTCTTGGTTTTATTTTCCCTTAAGGGACCCTCCCCATTCCCGATTTTCAATGGGCTTTCGCAAAACCAATATTTACAGAAAACGCGTTTAAAGTTTGAGAAGCCCTTCATTCGTCACTTGATGCTGACACAATAAATCGGCTATATCTTCAAGAGTTCTTGAGATTTTCACTTGAAATTTTGTAGGGACATTCTTGAATTAGTGTAGTTTTGATTTAAATCAAAAAATTTTGACCCCCATTTATGATAAATTTTGCTCACCATTGTTCTAAGCAAATGTTTTCTTGGTAGTATAATTATACCAACTTTGGTATCACAATTAATATAAAGGTCCATACGTAGGACAGCTCCACATACAGTACGTTGATATTTTGAAGGCAGTTGCATATTCGTTTTTGGTTTGCTGGCTTAATGGACGGATATTGCCAGACTATTTTGTACAGTGGTTTGTGGCGAGATTGCTGTGTAGAGGCGTTTTGATCTTGAATACGTCTTAAGTGTATACCAATCTCAACCCACTCAAACATGACCGGTGCTGTTTGTATCGTAGATGTCTGGTGAGCTGAGGTCAGGTATTTTATTTCTCTGATGTGAATTTAATGAATAAATTGTTGAAAAGAGAGCCAGTCCAGTGTTCATGTGGTTTCCACAGCCGACGTGAATTGT